ACTTATGTATCGAGAAATCCTTTCTTTATTCTGTCCTGTGGTATGTTTGTGTCTTGTCTTGTGACGATCTTTAAAGTATTTTGGATTTGACCTTGACCTGCTGGACATCTTCCTCTGTAAGTTGTGAAATTAGAGCCTTATACTAACAAATGCTGCCAACTCCCATGAGCTTAAACTGATTTGAGATTATAAGAGATAATCTCATGAACTTGTCCGTTGTGGTCTTAATTCCGCTATCTCAACAACAACAACAACATCAACCCAGTATAATCCCACTAGTAAGGTCTGGGGAGGGTAGTGTGTACGCAGACCTTACCCCTACCCTGGAATAGAGAGGTTGTTTCCGATAGACCCTCGGCTCCCTCCCTCCAAGAACTCCCCACCTTGCTCTTGGGGTGACTCGAACTCACAACCTCTTGGCTGGAAGTGGAGGGTTCTCACCACTAGAGCAACCCATTCTTGTCAATTCCGCTATCTCAGTGGCTAAAAAATATTTTTTTGAAGAGAAAAACATGCACTAATCCCTCCATGGCGTTGTTTGTCAATAACCAATATCCGCTCATAATGTCTTTGATACCAAAATTCTCAACTTTTCTCGATATCCAACTCTCTAACTCATGCATACGCATATGAAATGATATAATAAAGACGCACCAGGACATAATAATAACATGCGAATGAATATTTACATGAAAAGGAAATGGCTATGGCTAATCATATATTTCAACTATTCATAACAGTTCAATATGCTTATTTAACATTCGTAAGTGTGATCATGATATCAACAAGAGCAAAGTAAGCCAATAGCCATTAAATCATAAATCTAAGTAAGACAATTGTATGACTACGGCAAATTTAGAAAGCCCAACACAATGAAAGAAATGAGAAAATGACCTCGTATAGCCCCTCAAAATTTTAATAGCTCATGCTTTTCTCCATTGATCTGAAATGTCCTTCCGGCCCAAACATATTACATCTAATAGCCCGAAATATCTATTTTGTATATTTTTTGTATAGTGACAGTCTATTTAGTATATTTTTGTATAATGACAGTCTATTGTATATAAATTGTATAGTGACAATCTATTTTGTATAGTAAAGATTATGCATTTTTCAAATTAATGACGCAACCATGTTTTGCACACGTTGATGCTCCACCATNATATATACACACACTTTGGAAAGAAGGCATGCTCGTGATAGTGAAGGGTAAATTTCACAATTGGTCATATAATTATGATTTTTTTTTATTAAAGTCGTACAACTATATTTTTTCACATAAAAATCATAAAAACTACTAATAACTCATAAAAATACATAATGACCGAAAAATATAACTTTTCGATAGCTTTTTTATTTATTTTTCAGTCTAACAAATAATAACCAAATTAAAATAGGAATGATCCAACCTAATATAAATTGAAATAATACTAATTGAATCCTTCCCTCAAAATACACATAACTTCTATTTTTGGAGTATTTTGCTTTTTAAAGTTTTAATTATTTATCTCACTTATAATATGGGCACATATTGAACTCATATAGGAAAAGGCAAAAAGGAACATTTATGACAAAAGTTTTATTTTTATATTCTTCACAAGTATGTAATAAAATATTAATATCTAAATAGCATAAAAGCCAAAAAAGAATTAAATAATGAATGACTCCCTTTGAATAAATTAAAAGCCATCTTAGAAGCCATCTCCCTTTGTGTTTCCATGATAGTTGGATTTGTCAATTTCGGTGGCTAACCACTAGAATTAATTTTGGATTATAAAATGTATATTATAATTTGTGGCTACCGATTGTTATTAGTTTTTTCCGGATGGCTAGAAGTGATTATAGCTCGAAAGAAATCTGTCATATCAAAATCAACAAGTCATAACAGTATCATGGTCTCTAATCATGATTAGGATTCATCACGTAGTCATAGCATCAAGAAAACATGGATGAACAATTCACATAGTCCAAATGAGACATATTATAAGCCTAACTCTATCTGGCTGAAGTCACAACCTAGCTACACATATACGCTCGTCACCTCGTATATACGTGGCGTCTAAATCAAGTAATAAGTAGCAGATAAATAACTTGTGGGGAGAATTCCCGCTTACAAAGATATACAAGAGACTCACCTTTTTTCGGGCTAGCTTTAACCTTCAAATACAATTTTTCTTTAAAAAGTACCTACGAACGACTCTAATCTAGCCAAATAATACTCAATGATGTCAAATAATGCTTTAGGAATCAACCATATATCAAAAAGCTTTGATCTTTATTTAATTTAGAAAAGGAATTGTTACACAAATAGCTGGCCAGATTTAATCTTTACCTTTTCTAGCCAGTATACACAAATTATACATTGCTTATACATAGTTATACATATATTTTACATGAATTATAGATATATTATACATATGTCGGCTATTTTAAGTTTAAGAGATTAGGTGAGCGGTTATTTGGGTTAATCCTCCTTTAGAAAAATCAATAAAAAGTCAACCTCGGGCCCACACGCCCGGAGAATATTAAATATAATTTTTCATAAGAAAATATTACTTGAAAAATACACACACAAAGAAGAATATAAATGATATTATTTTATGAACATGTTAACACATTGGATATTCATATATTCAAGTCTATCCAAATTCTACTACTATATCTTGAATTACAATTTTATTTTTTAAGTACTTGAAGAAATTGGAAAAAAAATCAGGATAAAATTCACATTTAAAATATTTAAAAATATTTATCATATTTTTATTTTCTTCATGAAATAGTAGATAATATTATTATATAAACCCACCAAGTGATCAATAATGGTGCAATAATATGAAAATATATCACTAGTTATATAATTAATAGGTTAAAAGTTGCGTGATTTGATAGATATGTATCCCTTGGAGAACATTTTGGCCGACCAAGAAATCTTGCTATGATGTACAATTCCATTTGTATATTGTTAGTAACAATTATCACCGTTTGTGAGATTGCTGAAATTTGCTAGTATACTTAATAGTTTTTAATAAAGAAGATGTTGGTGATGGAGTTACGGGCATTAGTTTTTTTTAAGACGTGAATTTTAGGGTTGGGTGTTTTCTAGGAATAAAGTTAATTACTTGTATCTTGAAATTTAAATGTTAAATTAATTTTTAGGCATTTTGCCGCTTGGATAGCTATGCAGATTTTCATGTTGATAGTTATAAAATTACATCCAACTTCCAATAACTTAGCAACAAAAATCATAAAAAAAAAAAAAAACTTCAACGTCTAATGTAACTAGAAATGCCACATTTAACAATCATATTAGAAAATTAACCACACTAATTTTAAACTAACTAATTTTATTATATTATTTATTTATCTTATCCTAATATTGTTAATTGTCTTGAGCAATTTCAAGTGACTTATTATTATACGGCCACTTGGCTTAATGTGGATACTTGAAAGAAGAAATCGCATAAATAATTATTCGCATAGGAGAGCATGGATAAGAATCAATTATGAAGGTAGTTTAGAATTGTTGTTCCAAACCCACGTTTGGAAAGACATTAGTCGTGGGGTTGATTTTCGGGTGATTTATTTTTTCTTCCTTATTTCTTGTTTCTATGTAAGAAAATATTAAGTATATAAATTAATTACAAACTGCAGCACAAAAAAATGTGAGCGAAAATATTAATTTATTTTTGCATTGAAAGGTTTAATAAATAAATCAAGAATGGCCAAATAAACGTGGGAGGAAGTGTTATTTTTTCTTAAATGTGGGGAAAATATTAATTTTTTAAAATTTGCATGTTTTAATTTTTTGTTTTAATTTTCTATCTTCTATTTTAAAATAATTTTGAAACTTCTGTTGAAGTTTTGTCCTAAAAATTGTTATAGTGATGACACTTGGCACATAATTTATTGAAATAATATCGAATCTTTGTCTACTATTCAAAATTCTTCAATTGTCTAAATTTATCAATAATATTTTTGTGCTATTGTTTAAGTTATTTTTTCAAATTAATTCAAATTATAAATATTTAACATTATATTTATTTCCTCTTTTCGTATATTTTTTTCTACTGCTATATTTGATTAGTTTTTTCATTTAGTATTTTACTTATAATTTAAATACCCATATTTTTTTATTAAATTATAATTTTGAATTCATTAAAATTGTAAAAAGAGAAGTCTTTTATTATTCATATTCGTTAATTTGTCTAAATTTATAAATAATACTTGTGTATGTTATTTACCGACTTTATAATTTTTTGCTTAAAATTTTTTTCATGAATAATTATAAAATTTATCAAGTCTTCTCCTTTAACGGTCTCCATTTGTTGGCTTTTGCCCATTAACCGTAAACCCTCTTAAAACGACAGACCTCTAATCCCTCTTATGAAAACTGGGAACAGAAAAGCTTCAAATTTGCTTCATATAACTCTATTTGAAATTGCTAAATTTTCGAAATGGTTACACTTTTTGGTTTATTTGACCAAACGCTTAAAGGGCTGTAAAATAGCTCATTTTTAAATAATATAAAAATAAATTTGACCATTTTCTCAATATTGGAATTCGAGTAGATGTCCTACTCTAGTCAAAGAAAAAATTCCGTGCTCCTACTCCACAGTTTAGGGAGTAATAAATAGTCTCCCTAACCAAAATTCTCTATTTTTCACGCTTAATTCAGACAATGATTCTTATTTTTTTCTTTTAAAAAAAAACTTTATGTATTTGATTTTTGTATCAAATTTAGATTAGAATTAAAAATCTTAAAAATTCAAAAGTACTTTAAAATGTTTGAGAGGGGTGAAAATAGGCTAATTACTCTCCAGGTATTAACAATTTCTGAAATATGACTGTGGAGCGTATATATAATTTGTTTAGCAAGAAAAACATTATGACCAGTTTAACTGTCTTTAAGTGTGCATATTTTAGCTGTGAAATATGTGAATCAAATTTAGACGATTGAAAACTAATAATTACCATTACATTGTTAAATACAAATAAAACCATAAGAGTCGAGGCATAGCTTCTGTATTCTTGTAAAGCAAAGTTAAGTTATATACTATTTTCAGCAAATTCAACTAACAGCGTTTTTATTGAAGACAGATATGCCTAAAATTACACAGTACATTTTTCAATCTTATTCTCTTAAAAGTTTCCTATTGCAACTCCATAGACCTCACATTTGTATATGTTCCCCTTTCAAAGTGTATTATTCAGAAAAAAATTTCCTCAGTTCCTGAAAAGCAGGAACAGAACTTCAGCAAGTTGTGCTGGAAGGACCATAAATCGATGTATGTCACTCATGATTTTGTGTAAAAATAGACTGCACTAAATGGAGGCATAGCCAATGCGATCACAAATAGAGCTGCAGGCACTGCCATTTAATTGCATTCCAAACCATGTTAGTCGGCTTTCTTGTTCTTAAGGACTTTCTGCCTCATTCTTGAACCTGCAGGACAAGTTACAGCGCGGAAGAAGGATCTCCATCATGACCCTGATCCACTTGCCCATTTTTCGTTACCATATTCGCCAAACTCATATTTCTCGTACACTTCAAGTAAGAGTTCCCTGCACGGCACAACAGCCCCGAGCTTTATGCAAGCAAGGAAAGCTCCAGAAAGCTTACGGTGAAGACTGTAAGCTTCCTCAGGCGGTGGTGTCAGCCTGTGCCTCAGCATCGTAGCGCCAAGATTTGAAATGCTTTGGGTAATATTGTTAGCTCGAAAATCATAGCCTCCAAGCTTTGAAAATGGCAACCCCACAACAAAACCTGCCTGGACATGTGTCTCCATCATTATTTCAGATTCTTCTCCTGTGAGGAAACCGAGCCTCTGAGACAACTTTATTATTGCTTCCCGGTCATTGTTTGCGCATGCAAAAACCTGGTTTAGCGATCAATCAGTATCTCAGATTAAACGATGTAGGAATATAAAAGTGTCTCAGCTAGGTCAAAAGATTCGTTGTCAATCATGCATACAACCTAAAAAAGTAAGCTAAAATCGCAACGGATCTCAGATTTACTGTTCGCCAGAGATGATTATGCTTTTACTAGAGAAAGGTATTGATAACGTATGACAATAAAGGAATGCTTCAGATATAATCTTTTAAGAAACTTGGCCAAAAATGCAACCTTCAAACGACAACAAACAACAGATCAGATAACGGATAAGACCACTACAACAAATTGACCACCACTTTATATGTAGATTTGATAGTTCCAAAGTGGAAAAGCATATAATTTGTCATTTAGCTGAACCATATAATTATTTCAAACTTCCCTTTGAGCTAGGTCCAGCGAAAAATTACTATAACTTGCATATAGAAGAATAATAAATTCCAGCGCAATTCAAGTAAGCAAAGACATCTTACCATTCTCAAATAATCATCCACAAAACTTTTGGGGTAGTCCCGAGCTGCTCCAAAGTCAATGAGGTTGATTATTCTTGCAGACTCATCATAGAGGAAATTGCTCCAATTAGGATCGGTCTGCTCTAAACAAGTCAATGTTAGGGAAAAGAAAAAGGACAGCTTCTAAATTCTAGTATAATTGTAGTTGTAAAAAGAACTTAGTACAATCGTAACAGTGAGCAAAGATGATTATAATTTCGAAAACCATTGAGAAAGAAAAGTTTAAATTATTGAGGGAAAGTTTCCCAGTGTGCTTCTAAAGCTTGCAGTTGAACGGGAACCATGTAAGCTGAGATAGGGGTAATGTGAGGTTATGCTGCTCGGACTCTTAAAAAATGCTGCCGTTGCGCGTCCGATCCTCCAAAAATGCAAAAAGATTTGGAGGATCCGACACGCAACCGCGGCATTTTTTAAGAGTCCGAGCTAACATAGATGTGAGGCCATGCATGGCCTTACACCCTTGCTCAGTGGCCTGCTCTCTCAACACCATTGCTTAGTGTAGCATGGCATGGTTATATTTGTCAAGTAATGTACAAAGAGGAAGAATTCATAACCCAGGGACTGGGAGTAATATGAAAAACGTCAAGCCCGTGCAGGGCCTACAGGGACTTCCCTGGACCATTCTCTCAGCAAACTTTCCTACCGAAGAATGGGAGGATTATATCACTTGATGGAATATACAACAAGGAAATTGAACCCTTGGATCTTATGTAGTACTAACAGGATGGAAATGTTGTATAGTAATTACCAATTTACCTGCATGAAACGAAAAACAAACAACTCCATCAGAGTAAGCTCGAGCAATTTCCTTCCGACGTAGTTCCGAGTCTCTTGATCCAGTATCGCCACCTTGTCAATTGGAATTCCTACAAAAAATATTCAGAACAGTTATCAATTACAAAAATCAACTTCAAATAATCCCGACGAACCCAACGCCAAATACATCAGCTGATGAAAGGAAACCAACCGTAACATTAAATTTTGGTATTTTCCAAATGTTGGAAATGGATTGATTTAAAGAAGTTACCAGGGACAAGTTCTGAAGTCAGTACTCGTTTACTTGACAAATCATCTATGACCACTGGAACATAAAATCCCTTCGTGCCAGATAATAGAATGCCAAATCTTTTTTGATTCTGCGCTTCCAGCTCATAGTCGCATTCACGAGAGAGTTCTTCTTTGGCCACCTGAGGTTGAAGAATAAGACACATCTATTTCATTAAAGTAGCACCATAAAAAGCAAGGAGCCATGATTGTTTTCAAATATGTGTCTTTGGAGCAACGAGGGTGGCTGTTTCCCAAATGTGAACTGCAAACCAAATTGCACTTCGAACGGTGAAATTTCATCAAGAGAAGTAGCATTGCACAAGAAGTACCTCCACTTTAAGCTACTTTAACATATAACCTAAAGGGGAAGGGAAGGTGAATTTTCACTACCCTTAGTTAGCATTCATCAGCTACCTTTAGTTGTTAATTGGACACGAAAGGGAAATGAAAGTCAGTCACTTCTTCTCCCTCAACTTTCAGACTAGTCTTGAGCTGTCTCGCTTTAATTTTGATTCTCATACTTATACTTCATAACCAAACAAGTCAAATAGGTGTCACCATCCTCTTAAACTTCCACTCCATCCTCCTCTTTCAACTAAAGTGAACAATAAGTTAAACTCTAACAACTGCAGGTGACATGTCAAATGCACGAAATTCTACTGATAAACAGATATATTTACCTTCAAAACATTTTCAAGGTCCAGCTCATTAAGGCCAGTAGAACCACAGAAATAGGTCAATTAGCTTGCACTTATTCTAAATTGTAAGAACCACGGGTGAAATTCAAATACAGGGATTGCTATTTACATAAACGAATAGGTTTACCTTCATAGCATTTTCTAGGTACAGCCCTTCTGGTATTAGATTTGTGTAACCTAATAGAAGCTTCACATTATCAATATCACTCTCAATGCTATCAGCAACACCTGGGTACTGTATTTTCATAGCAACATCCATGCCATCCTTTGTAACAGCCCGATGGACCTGGAAATTGTTTAGAAGTAGTAAGTATGTGGCTAAATCTGCAAATAACTAGGCAAAATCTTAGATAACTAAACATTTTATATAATGAATAAGACCTTCAACCATAAGCATCAAATACCATTCTCTTTTATGCAATGAAACGACCATTCTTTTATTGAGAATGCAATACCGCCAGATCATGAATTTGTTTGTGTTATGCAAATAAGGATTCCCTAAGTCCTCGGAGCTTTAACAAAGGAATTCGGGAGTCCATGATATGTCTAAGAAATTCTATGTTGGCAAAAGAAGAAGCTAACGGTGTTCAATTGATTCTACGGACATCCCAGGTTTTAGTAAATAAAACAAATTAAAGTACCTTCCCTTGGCGGGTATAAGAACTGTATGCATTAAAACAATGCAATATCAACAACTATACCTTTTCCAAACTAATTGGGACGGTTGTGTGAATCCTCTATATCAATTCCACTCTTTAAGCATTAAAACAGTTCCTTGTTTTTTCATCAAAATGAGAGTAGTAACTCCAAAATATTTCATTTATTTTCTGGCAGTGTAATTTATCCTATTATTACTTTGCCTACTCTAATTTTAAAATGTTGTTCAATAATATCTTAGATAAACAAGTCTAATCTCAATGGCACAAATGAGATGTGTGAGTTAGGAAGATTTGGTCACTCATACAAATAGAAATCCAACACTTATTCAAGATAACAACAAACTTTTCCCTTATATCGAGAAAGCTAGAAGTAGACATAGCACTTTAAGATGTTCTTACACAAAAATATAAATATTGCTGAAACTGGATCTTATGGATTTTAAGGATTTAAAAGCAAAGTTAAAACTGATTATATTATTTAGTATATTATAAAACTTATTTGCAATTAAACTAGACAAATTAATATTAGAATGACTAAAGTTAACACAAAAATTACTCGACTGTTGCTAATCCTAGACTGAAGAAACACAACGAGTTTACCGGTATTTCTCTAAATGAATTGTATGGGGGATATATCGAGGAGGGGGGAAAACATTATGAGGATAATGGGGACATTTCATACTAGCAAGATGATAGTAAGCAGTGTTTGCAGTATAAAGTAGCCCGAAGCGCAACTAAGAAACAAGAGAACAAAATGGTGGTTTAGTTGAAACTAGATCACCTGTCCAATACTTGCTGCTGCCATCGGCTCATAATCGAAACTCTTCAACTTCGATGACCAATCTTGACCTAATTCACTGCCCAACACTTGATTAAGCTGACTCCTCGGCATAACATCTGCACCTTGACGGACAACGTCCAAAGCAGCTAAGATCTACAAGCATATGAGATAATTCATACCAAAAGCAAACAAAGTTGATAAAAATTAATGGGTGGAAATCCACAACCTCGTCAAAAGTGGATAGGTCCCTTGCATAGGGTAAGTAAAACAGAAAAAGAAAGACAAAGGGTCTTTCTCACACTTTACACTAAATTGTAACTCTAACAGCATTAAACTTNCCAAAAAGAAAAGGAAAGATAAAGAGGACATTTTGAAAGAAAATTAAACTCACATCAAACTGACTCAAATTGTACCACTTTGGTAACCACTGGCATCTTATTTTTTCTCAACAGTTCACAAAATAATGATTATGAGTTAACATAGTAGGATAGGTAAATGTAATTTTAATAAACTACAGGGGAAGGCTCTCTGATAATTATAATAAAAACAAAGTAGCTTTACTGTTTCCTATTGTGTGTCTGTTTGCAGACCAGGAGACACCAAAAATCTTTTTGACCTAAATGGCATTACGTGCAAGACATATTCTGGAAGGCTTGCCATTTGATGAAGTATCACCTAATAGTCCATACTCTCCTATACACAAGATCAAATCAAATCAAATTGTTAGCTAAATTTTACTTTTTGGTGTAAAGAAGTTCATGAAAATGATACTGAATCCATTTTAGATCTCATAGGTGCCCTACTGGAATAGGCTAGGGCCATTTTTTGGGCATCTATCTTTGCTTATGATATCCGGTATCCCTTTGTACATTCTTCTCTGCACTATCGTATTGCTATGTTATAATATAGTAGCTTCTCTCAAAGAAGGTTAGTCCATACTCTCCTTTAGCCAATAACTGCAATTCCTAAACACCAGTTGTCTATTAAAATGAAATTGGCACAACTAGCCTATAAACACATGGCCCATTCAAAAGAACTGTAGACAAGTTACAAGGCAAGCAAACAAATGGTATGTTCAAAGCTAAATCCTTCTACCAGGTCTTTCTGAAAAGGACACGTTAAGCTTTAACATAAAATGATTTGGATTATGAGCATACCAATGGAAATTCTTTCTTTCTTTAAGGACATGAAATCTAATTTACTATATGAAAAGCTTGTGCAAAAGACGATGAGTCCATAAAAGTTGGTGCTATATGTGCAATTGAAGCCTCAGGGGGTTCCCTAATGAGGAGGATAGACTGAAATGGAAGGAACAAAGTGGATGCCTATACACTGTCAAGTGTCAAGTCATAATACAGTTTTTTTTTGTGATAAGGAGATTTATCAAATCATATTACAGAGGCTACGAGAAAAAAGCAACAGATCAGGTCATGGCCATGGAAACAAATATAGAAATCCAAAACTCCATGTAAAGTATCTTGTTTTACACGGTTAATTGCTAAAGAGGCAGCCTTGACCCAGGATAATTTGAAAAAAAAGAGGATTCATACTTTGCAGTAGGTGTTACCTGGGTGGAACAAAGGCAGAAACCATAAGTCATCTTTTATTTTTCACTGTCCAGTTACTGATCAGATTTGGCAGCTTTTTGGAACTTTTTTGGTATTAAATGGACCGTGCCTGGTAATACGGCTGTTTTTTCTTAAGTTGGAGCAGTGTTGGTACAAACAGGACCAGGAAAAAGAGTTGGAACGCAATACCAGCCTGCATCTGGTGGACTGTTTGGAAAGAGAGGAATAAGAGGTGTTATGAGGTAGCTACAATTCCACTCCGAAGATCAAAGCTAAATTATATTTTTGTTTTACTTTTGGTGTAGATTGGAACTTGTAAATGAAGGTGAATATGTTTTAAAGCTTTTAGAATCCTTACATGTTAGGAAGGGCCGATTTTTGCTTTATACTTTTGCTATGTTGTGTAGATTTCCAGTATAATTTTTGTGCTGCTTTTAGTAAACTTTACCATTTCCAGAGGAAAAGAAAAAAAGAAGCTGGAATTTCATATACGGGCGAAGGAAGAGCAGAGCAAGCATAATCATTTGTGCTGCAGCACTTTGGACAATCAGGTGTCACCATAGGAGACCAATACTTGAGCTCTTCAGGGCAAAGAGAATAAATTCATTCAATATTCAGAATATCTAGCTTTTTTTTCTTTGTATATATTTGGAGGAGATTAAGATGTTCAACTCTATAGATAATTGGACTAGTCTCTTGGAAATTAACAGTCTTGTACATATTGTATATAGAACTGGTGACCTTTTGTCAATAAAAATTTACTTATCAAAAAGAACTACTCCCTCCAAATAAACATGTTCATATAATTTTCACATCTTCCAAGAATTTAAATTAAAATATATTTAACAATTACCTAATTGATTATGTGCATGCCAATCCTAGTTAATCAACCAAGTCAAAAATATATTTGACATCCTAAGTGTACATACAAATATCACGAATTATCTAATGCACAACATTGTAAGTTAACCGGATTATTAACTAAATGCAATTCACCCTAAGTGTTCGGCAAATAGATAAAGTGATAAACATCAAAGCAAGCAAGCAAATGAATATTTTGATGTGATGTTTACACTATCAGATCAACTCTTTAACTATTACTTTAGTAATTTCTTCTAAAATACAAGTATAATATACAAATCAGATTAAAACTTCAAAATCCATCTGCATTTAAAACTATGACATGCCAAAATGCGATGGAGGGAGTACAAGGGAAAATAACTCCAAGGCGTATTTTGGAACTCAAAATATTTACCGGAGCTGGAACCACAGATTCATCTTGGATGCTTAACATCTGCCCCAATTTTAAAGCTGCTCCACGCATTCTACATAATGCAAGAGCCAGACGTTCTGCATTTTTCTCAGATAGATAGGGGGATAGAGCAGATTGTTTCCCTTGCAAGTTTGGTGTACCAAAAACAAGCCTCTTGGCAGATTCTTGAAGTGTACCCCAAGCAAGACCAGCTCCAAGGCCCGCAAACCTTCAAAATTAAAGTTAAAGTTCAAGTGAAGAGTCCAAGTCATGTGAACAGAGAAAGTGATGTTCATGATATGAGCAACTTCTGGTGCATCTTGGTTCTTTACATGCAAAAGGTTAATTAAAACAGATAATTGCTAGCAAAAACAAAAAAGCCTGAAATACCCAGCTTAGTTGAAAATTTTGATATACAAGAGAGAGTGGTCATTCAACCTAGCTCTGCGGATGCATATTTTTCCAGTCCATTAAGAATTAGGGATTGAGGCATAGTTGTTAATTCTTCCTTTAAGAAACAAACCTTCAATAACTTAATATGATAACAATGCATGAGACTCACATAATGCACCAACAAGAGTACAACCTCTTAGGTCCTCAAATCTATACCAGGTCATTAGCATAAGTCTCCAATGAAGCAAATATCTCTAAAAGCCTTAACTTTGGAATGGGACCTCAAGTTTCCAGCTCAAGAAAGGAAAGAGGAAACCAGTGGAGTAATATATTGAATAAATAAGAGACAGATCTTTTTAAGCGTATGATCTATATTTTTCCAAAAATCTAGCATTAGAAAGACCTGGAAAGCCTAAAAATATTAATGCAGTAGCAGCAAGCAAAATCTTCAGACTCCATGATTTAGTTCACAAGAAATAAAAAGGGCTACACCTATGATGAAACATTCTTGCATGTACTCTGACAAGTTACACATGCAATTGTCTGAAAATCCTGGCCAATAGAGTATACCTTAATTCTAGCTAATAAATTAGTCTGGAATCGACAACAAACAACAACATAAACCTCCAAGTACACCAACACAATGGAAACTAGTAACAAGCATCATGTAAATGTATTAAGAAATCTACTAAATATTGTGTTAAGAAATCTTCTAAATATTTTTTTTTTGATAAGGTAAATTGTATTAATCAAAAGGGAGAGAACTCCCGTATACACGAAGTATACCAAAAAAACGTAGAGAATTTACATTAGATTAAGAAATCTTCTAAATATTTTTTTTTTGATAAGGTAAATTGTATTAATCAAAAGGGAGAGAACTCCCGTATACACGAAGTATACCAAAAAAACGTAGAGAATTTACATTAGATTAAGAAATCTTCTAAATATGTATGAAAACTATATTCAACACCCAATTACTGGCACTTGAGGTCTCTGTCCTATAATTCAGAACCCATTAAGTTCAAATCCTGAATCCGCCCCTACTCATGGAACTTCAAATTCCACTAAACAGAACATAATAAGCGGCAAGAGATTGTACAAAATATAATTACCCAAGCGCTCTAGAGAAAGAAGTGGACGGCACTTTCCTCTCCCGGGGCTTCCTCTGCCTCTTAATGACCGGCTGTGGAGTAGTAGGGCTCACTGCCTCGGCAGCATTACTTTCAGAAGAGAATGATAAATCTTTCTGAGGATCAACCTCGCAGGATGTCCCAGCAGCAGCTTGAGGCGGAGACTCTACATATTCACAAAATTCAGCTGCAGAAACTTCGGTCGGCGCTAAATCGCGTTCAATTTGGGGCACAATCTCGGACTCGGAAGTGAACGTACTAGAACTAGAGGCGCTAGGTTTCTCATCAGGTTGAGGAGGTCGAGGGCGAGAATCATCAGTAAAGTAAACGACACTTTGTTTATTCGAATTAGCAGAATTTGAATTGATCTCCTTGTCGATTTGCCGAACTTTGCCCTTGGTGAGACCTGTTAAGTCGGTGGCGGAGAGAAGGGTCTTCTTAAGTAACGATTGCAAGTTGTTACCGCCGTCACTTCGCAGTTGCCGGTTAACAGCCTCTTTGGCAACCAAAGACAAACCATCTGCTACCTTCGCTATGTCTTTCAGGTATGCCATATATGAACGTAAATGTGTTCAATTCGGTTAACGCTTTGCGAAATGCAGCAAAAATCAAAGGGATAAAGGGATCGGAAAAGTATTATGTGCAGTATGTACATGGGCGATAGGAGAAAGGAAAAGAGAATAGAATTTCAGTCGTGCGGCCATATAACGGTTAACGATTGTGCAGGGAATGCCACAAATCAGGCCATACCTAAGCCGCCGCCAGCGCAAACTGAAAATAAAAAGGTCGTTTGGACACAAAACGCAAAAGTGTAGTGATTTTAGCATACATTATTTTCTTGTTTGGACATATTTTCTTTTGTTCCATCCTTGAAGTAGCTCAATTTTAAGATTAAATAAAAAATATTAAGCTTAAATTATCTAAAAAACAATAATTAGTAGCTCAATTTTGTTTGCATCCAACTAAAATAATTAGTATCATATCCGCAAAATAAGGTATTTATTGATGAAACACCTCCTAAATGTTAGCATCAATGGTATCTGAGGTCATGATTTTAAAGATACCACAATTTATGGTAATTAACATCAACGACAAAAAATTCAGTGTAATTACACAAGTGAGTAAGATAGTGAGTATGCAGATCTTATCCCTACTTTATGAAGATAGAGAAGTTATTTCTGATATACCCTCGACTCAAAGAAAGCATAAAAAAAAAGTACGGTAGTGGAGAAGCGATGAAAAAGAAGCTAGTGAATTTCAAAAATTGTCATATAACTATAATATTTTTTACCAAAGTCATATAACTATGTTTTTTCGCACAAAAATCATAAAATTTTTACTAACTCACACAAAAATCATAGTAACAGAAAATATAACTTTTCAGTAGTATTTTCTTATTTCATAATTTTTTATTTTTTTAGTTTCAATGTAATAAATAATAATCCAATTAAAATATGACCCAACCCGACCTGACCCCCTCTCTCCTGACCCAAAAGCCATATATCTAAATTAAAATAATACTAAAAGTAAATCCTTCAAAACACGATACTATTATCTTTTATTTTTCTTTTCAAGATATATATTCATTCAAAATTGATAGCATTTTTGTTTTAAGTGCTCTCTAAATATACCTTTATTTTTGGGGGTCAGAATCTCATGCATTCCAAATGTGAAGGGAGAATTCACTTTTATTATTATTTTAATTTATGTAAATGGGTACTGAGTCAGCTTGGGTTGGATCATTCCTATCTTAAGGGAAAAATACAAAATTGACTCGTCGATTGTTTCGCTAGCCAAAAATATATAGAATATATATATATATATATATATATATATTATATGTGTATTATACATATAATATATTATCTGCTAAGTATTAGTTTTTTTAGAGCGTCTAAAAATATATATTTTTCCTATTTTAATTGATTTATTATACAATAGACTGGAAAAAAAATGAAAAAAAAAACTGGAATAAGAAATACTATCTGAAAATTGTGTTTTCCGGTCACTATGATTTTTGTGTGAGTTAGTGAAAGTTTAATGATTTTGTGTGAGAAAATAAAATTATATGATTTTCGTGAAAAGCATTTATAATTATATAACTATTTATGAAATTTATCCAAAAAAATTGTAGTAACCAAATGGTATATATTGTGGTAATTAGCATCAATTGTATATATTGTGTTAATTAGTCGGCGATATTATATGTAGAAATGGCACGGTTTGGCCAGGAAAGCTTCGGTGGCAAAGGTGAGCATCCACGAGGACTGGTGCAAATAAAGATATGGGATTGCTATCATACTTTACGAGCTCCATCAGTCAACTATACCGAAATTTCTTTTAACCTCATTTTGGGAAGATCTCTTGGATAGCGGAAGGGGAAATAATACACAGCAGACTGAATAGTTGCATCTGCACTTTATGAAAATAAACTTTGTTCTTTGCGTCTTTTGGACATGTTTCATGGCAATGCATGGAGTCAAAGACTGTTGGGTTTAAGCTTGTAATAGCTTAAAATAGAGTGAGTGGGAAATTGAGAGAAAAATAAAATATTTGAATTTTTCTCTTTGACAAAGGAACATTGTACTATATTGGAAGAGAAAAAGAGTTTTGATGGGTATATATACAATTGCTCGAGGCAAGCCCTCGCGCCGTCATCGTTGCTCGACTTTATATTTAGTCAAATGATTTGATTGATTAATTTTTTAGACCAAATTTATTTGTTAAGATTAATGTAATATTATTTTAATCCAAAATTTGTAACGGTAAATTAATTTTTCTCCGTGTTTGATTTTCCAGTTTTATTTTGCGTAAATAGTTATTTACGTAATAGTCGTTTTACGTGAACGGTCATGTTGAAGAGTTGCACTTCTTCGTTTAAACCCAACCTATTGGCTATAAATAGCAGGTCATTCCCTCAGATTTTCCTTACGAAAATTCTGAATTCTCCTTCTTTCTTCTGCATTGTTTTAACTAAAAGAAAGCTACCGATCATTTGTATTTGCTGAAACACTGGGCTTTGAAGTACCGTTATACCAATGTATAATTTGTTCTATTCTGAGAGGAAATAAAGGAGGGGATTAAGTTCCTTAAAAAAATAATATGAATTCGGTGGACTCGAATTAATATATGCTTCTTCTACATTTCTGTTTTTATGTTATTCCGAAATTACTTTGCAAATACAGATTAATAACAAAGACATTGCATATGCATCCTAAAGTTCGAATTCCATAGTTCAAACTTAAGGATGCGATGTCCAAAAATTCAAACTCCACAGTTTTAACTTAAGGACACTGCAAGTTGAAGTTCGAATTTCACAGTTCTAACTTAAGGACGCTGCAACCTGAAATTCAAATCCCAAACTTCTAACTTAACTAGTCTTAGGGTACGCGCGTTACGCGTGTACCCTATCTCAATAAGTATAAGTATAAAAAAAATTTAAATTGAGTTATAAAATAAAGATTAAAATCCTAAAAATAAAAAGTATTTACCATATATAGCTAATTCAATAAAGAAAAACTGCAAAAAAGGAAGTCCTCGGTCATTAGTCGTTGTACTCAACTTAAGAAAAATTATAGTACTCAACACCAAATCAATTTCATAAGGATTCATGTTTCTTTTTCAGTTTCCAAAACTTGTACTCACTACAAATAATGCTTATTTAAATTCTACGAACTTTATTGATCAATTAAATTAATATTAGGCGTATTGTACGTACTTAATTTGCTTGTACTCACATGATTTATATAACTAATTCTCAAAATTACAACGAATAAGAAAATAATTTATATAACAATTGAATAACTAAGAGTCAAATTTTTTAATTATGTCAAAAATTTAACCATTAATTTAATTATTGTCAAAATTTCAAATATTAAAAAAATAATTAAATAACAATAATAATCAAGAGTACCTCCTAAGGATGTCATTAGATCTTGTAGAATAAAACTTGTTCGACAACCATCATTATGATTTTTGTGATTCCTTTTTTGTATCAAACAGTCTACTCATATTTAAGCTTTTAGTTATCTCATAAAAATGCTAAATTATACTGTTTGAACACTAACATTAATTGTGAAATATTAAGATATTATGCACGAAAAATAGAAATCTTAATAGCACAATGCTTCAACATAACCCCGATTTAGGTCAACTAATTTTTATTAATTTAGCAAGTTTTGCTATATATAAATACGAAAGTACCTCTAGTCATGAATACAAAATTTTAAAAAGCCACATAAAAAGTAATATTAAGATGTCTCTTTTATTTTTTTTATTTATATTGATAATCTTGAATGAATATTCATACTTATTAAACAAAAATGTTATGATAAACATAACATAACATTTTCCGAGTTTTTACTTTGTTAAAGATCAATGAACCTAATTTTGGAATGATAACTGCGAGGTTTTCCTATTAAAGAAAAACTAATTATTTTTTGACTCTTTAACTAAAGAAAGCCCTAATTCGAAAAGGACAAAATATAAAGAATCCTAAATATAGATGAAGTTGAAAGTGAAAGAAAAGAAACTTTCTTTGTACTAATTGAAAGCGATTTGAAATTCTAGAATTGAAAATCAACATTATAAATATTAGAGGAATAATAAAATAATGACTATTCTTAAATAATAGGGAGTTAATTAAATCACTATTACTAAATATTAGAAAAATAATAAAATGACTATTTTGTCTAATATAAATTTTAATTTAAAAGGGTAAAAAAGACGAACGATATTTCGCTATATTTTTAATATATTATTATATTATATATTATATATATTAGGAGCCTGCGTTCTGAAGTACAAACTTCAATGTTCAAACTTAAGTATTAAGGCTGATATGTTAGAGAATCAGGACCATCTTTGATATTGAACAGATTTTTCTTCAAAAAAGTGAACTTGCAAATATAGGCAGCACATGCAGACCCAGAATGAAAATTGTATTAGAGCTTGCACTTTTAATTAAGAGAAAGGAAGGCATAAAGACCAAAATATAAATTGCTAAGAGCACTATTATAAGGTACTGGATGTCCAGTTATTCCCTTTAAATCCGAAGTGAAAAACTTGCGACAAGGTAGAACAGATTTACGGAGCTTCAGGACATCGTCCTAAAATTCAATTATTGTATTTCGAATTTCAGGATATAATGTCCTAAAGTTCAATTGTAGCAATTCGAATTTTAGGATACAATGTAATGCAGTTTAGTTGCAGCTGTGTCCAGAAGTTCACTTGTAGCGATTTGCAACTTCATACAATGTCCTTAATTATTATACTTTAAATTTCAGGACACTATATCCTTACTTGTAGTGAATCAAACTTCACGTTGCGTCCTAAAGTCTTCTTTTGTAGTAAAAACCTTTGTTGTGTTCCTTCTTGGACGACGGATGCAGGCTTGAATTGTGCTAAACGGGTGTTGAACGTAGTTGACCCACCGTTTTTGCAAAATCAGTTTATTTTAAGTCGACGGTGGAAGCAAATTCTTGCACAGTAAATTCAAGGGAAAATACATAAGATGCCCCTTAACTTGTCCCCACAAGTTTTCAACTTAACGTTTACTAGAGTTCATTTTCCACCTTATACTTATTCAAAATGAATTTAATACCTCCCTGAGACATATACAATCAGTTACACAGTGGAAGGTGTTGCACGTTCTCCCTATGTCTTTGCCACATATTACCACACCAGATTCAATTTGATTTTAACTTCTTCTTTTTTTATAAATTTTACTCCTTTTCCTTATTTTTTTATTTATAAATTTGCATCTCTTTCCTTATATGATACGGAGGTGTGAGCGGTTGGTTGTGGAGGGCACGAGAAGA